ATGTGACCGTGATGTGACTGTGTGGTGTGACTGTGTGATGTGACTGTATGATGTGACTGTCATGTGACTGTGTGATGTGGCTGTGTGATGTGACTGTGTGATGTGACTGTGCGATGTGACTCTGTGATGTGACCGTGATGTGACTGTGTGGCGTGACTGTGTGATGTGGCTGTGATGTGACTGTGTGATGTGGCTGTGCGATGTGACTGTGTGATGTGACTGATTGATGTGACTGTCATGTGGCTGTGTGATGTGACCATGATGTGACTGTGTGATGTGACCGTGTGATGTGACTGTGTGATGTGACTGTGATGTGACCATGTGATGTGACTTTGTGATGTGACTGTGATGTGACTCTGTAATGTGACTGTGTGATACGACTGTGTGAAGACTCACATAGGTGACACTGTGACAGTGGAAGGAGTAGCATGTAGTGCACTCTTGGGGGACAGGAAGGAGGGGAGCTGTGGTTGGCTAATTCATGCCCCATTCCCCCAAAGATATCCACTTCCTAATTCCTGGAATCTGAATGTTCCATTACACAACCCAAAATAAAGCACTTTGCAGATGTGATTAAGGATCATGAGATGGGGAGATTATTTTGAATATTCTGGTAGTGCAAAAACCCAAACCTTATGGTTTGTAATTAAAAGTCAGAGGAGGTTTAACCTGGAAGAAAAAGGAGACGGGAATGTATCACGGAGGCAGAAGGTGGAGTGATGTGGCCACACGACCAGGGCGGTCAGCAGCTCAGAAGCTGGAAGCAGCCCTTAGTGAGCTCCCCGAAAACCACCAGTGTAAGTGGAGCACTTCTGCCTCTGACCTCCTGAAGTGATCGTAACATTGGGCTTCTAACCCCCAGACATGCAAGAGAATCAATTGTTTTAAGCCACCAAGCTTGTGGAGGTTTATTCCAGCAGCCAAAGGCCACCAAGCATGGAACCTGTGGTGTCTCCTTGGGTCCTGGTCAGGGGACTTGCTGGGTGAGTGCATTAGCTTGGATAGGCTAGTGGAAGGGGGAGCAGGCTGGGGGCAGACCCCGGGCTCAGACTTTGTTTTTTTTTTTTTTTTTTTGGTCTTTGGTGTCTGCCTTCTCTTTTTCTCTTTCTCATTTTTTTTATTGCATTTTAGGTTTGGGGGTACATGTGAAGAACAAGCAAAATTGTTGCATAGGTACACACGTGGCAGTGTGATTTGCTGCCTTCCTCCCCATCACCTACATCTGGCATTTCTCCCCTTGCTATCTCTCCCCAGCTCCCCACCCCCCACCGTCCCTCCCCTATTTCCCCCCAATTGACCCCAGTGTGTAGTGCTCCCCTCCCTGTGTCCATGTGTTCTCATTGTTCAACACCCGCCTATGAGTGAGAACATGTGGTGTTTGATCTTCTGCTCTTCTGTCAGTTTGCTGAGAATGATGGTTTCCAGGTTCATACTGCTTCTGAAATGACAGTGGAGTGCGCGCTTGGAGCTGTCCAGTTGTTAGGGGGTGCTGATCTCTGGAGCTCTTGGGAGAGCTTGGGGGAGAAAGGAAGCATTCGCCTCAGGTGCTGGTGAGTGATGCAGACACCCAGGAGAGCTCTGAGTGTGGGGAGTAAACAAATGTGAACTCCAGGGTGGAACCTGGAGATGTCCTCAAATTATGGTAAATGGAAAAGAAAGTATATTGGGCATAACAGAGGAGAGAAACCACAGGGCAGAGGGGACACCAAGCAGACTGACTGTGGGTCTGAGGGGCCTGCTAAGAGGAAACTCTGGGCCTGGACAGACAGGCTGGGGGATCCCTCCCTACAAGACCAGCAGGAACACTGTAATTCCTGTGTCCTCGTTACCATGGTTTTCATTCACGGCTGCAGGATGGGAAATCCATAAGGAATGTAGGACGATTCCTACCAAATATCTCCCTCTGAGATGCCTGGACTCAAGCCCCATTGGTAACAGGACACTGGTTCTCTGGAGCTGATTGTCAGCCACACCCAAAGGCCACTCCCCTATGAAAACCACCCTTGACTCAAGGCCTGAGGCTGCAGAATCATAAGACCAGTGGAGACGTTCTGGGCAAGTGATTTATTAGAGCAAGACGTTGAAACCTTTACATTCTGCAGTGAAGATTAGGATATCATTGAAAGATGGTAGAAACAAGCATGAAAAAGTTTTTACATCTCAGCGATCACATTTCTCTGCTATTTTCCCCTGAAATTAAAAAGGAAAGAAAGGAAGGTGAGGTTGGTCTTGCAGCTCCTGAAGACAACAGGTTAACATCCAAGTGGCCGATGGAATTCTGCTCCCAAAAACAACTGGAAGGGCAGAGGCAGGAACCCAGTGTGTGTGGGAAACTGGGGCCTAGACCTGGTGGCCTCACAGCACCCATGCCGGTGAGGAAGGAGCCTTTCCTCACCAAGCCAATAGCCCTGGGAGGACCCAAGAGTGAGGCCCAGGGTCCTCATGTTGGGGACAGGAGGGATGGACAGAGCAGCCAAAGGTTATTGTCTGGGCTGTCCCAGGACTGTGGAGTTTTCTGTTGCCTGCAATGAGGGACCCAGGGCTGGAGGCTGGTCAGGGCTGGGAGGGCCTCTGGGAAGCTTGGCCTCCAGGAGCCTCCAGCCTCCCTATGTGGGAATTCTTCCTCGGGGTCCAGGCATTTCTCGGCCCTGAACCTGCAGCTTCCATAAGCATTTGCAGCTAAACTTCGGGACAGCAACCCAGAGGCAGCCAGGTTGAGAGGCCCCTGGAAAGCCTCTGATTTCTTGAGAAAGACAGAGTGAGAACATCCTGCTTCCATGGCATGGCAGTAGGTAGAGTCGGGAGGGTCTTAGCCCACTGGCTGTGGTCAGGAGAGCATCGTGAGAGAGAAGGGGAGCGTGGAGTCTGAGGACCTGGGAGGGGCTCCTTGCTGGCTTTGCAGAAGCTGCAGAGAAGACTGGCCTGCCAGCGTGGCATCTGCAGGAGGCCTGGCTCTAAGTCCCTCCCTGCCTTCCTCTCCCTATTCAAGGCTCCCATGCTCCCCAGGACATTCCACAGTGACTGTGTGAGGGCAGCGCGGCCTCAGGAAAGCCTCCAGGTAGAAGGCAGCCGTGCTTGGCCCTTCACCATCCCTGCCTGGGCCCTGGCTCACTCCCCATGTCCTCAGCACACTCTGGGGACACGGCATCCAGTCAGGTGATCTGAGGAAGAGGAACATGCAAGGTGCTGTGTGCAGCTGAGTTGAATTCTGCAGGTGAAAGGGTAGCACCCACTCCATGGCCCCAGGTGACCTTCTCAAGCAGTGACCAGCAAGGCAGGTGCCCCACCACCTGTGTCCCCCACAGAGCAGCAAGCTGACCTCCCTTCACCCTTTGCAGCTAACCAGAAGCCTCGACACATAGAAGAGAAAGAAATTACCAGTGTCTTTGTAATTAGCACTCTGTTCTCATAGGCCATCAGATCCACGCATTTCTTCACTTCCATCTTTGCTGTAACAGCTTCCAGAGGTGCCTTAAATTTGGCAAGTTGGATCTTGAACACAGGTTTTCCAGCTAATAAGAAGCCTGCGATTTCAGAACCAAGAGCTTGGCAGACCACTGCATTTGCTGGAGCCAAAGAATAAAAATGTTATTTACTTAAGGAAATCAGTGTTTCTCCCATGCCTCCCAGACAAAAATCCCAGGGTTTTAGACTTCTATTCAGCAATGATGGCAGTGACAATGTCAGACCCAGGAGCTTGTGACTTCCTTGAGGTCACGCAGCAAAGGGCAGAGCTAGAACTGGAAAATCAACTTCCTGATCACTCATTCAGTCTTTGTTTTTTTAAAGCACGCCCATTACTTTGCAAAGCTTCTCTGGTTGGATGGCCGACATTCTCTTTTCTGGATTTGAAAATAATCACTTTCCTCTGCCAAGTAAGTGGCACTTTGTTAGTCTGAGACACTGGTGAAGAGGAGATTTTGGGTAAACAGATTTTGAAGTGAATGGTAGAGTCAGAATCTTATCAGAAATTAGAGAGATGAGAGTAGATCTGGAGACGAAGAAGTTAAAATTAAAACTATTAAAATGTTGAAGGTGATGTTTTGAGAATCAGTTGGAGGATTTAGGCTTATGTGATTCAAAATAAGACAGAGCTAAAATGCAAACAAATTAAAACAAAATAAAATAATGTTAATCAATTTTAACACACATTAGAAGCTTATGCAGAAAACTGTACTTGGCCCATATTCTACAGCAACATCTAGAATACTTGGAGAGGACGGTAGGAGGGAACTGAGGCTCATTCCTGCTCCCACTGGGAATTTTGGAAAGACATGGAGCTAATCACTTTGCTTGGTCTGGATTCTCCATTTCCCCAGTTTTTTTGCAAACACCATGCATTCAGGAAGCGCCTCACTAGGCTCAGCACAACCCCTGACTACACAACTTCAAACTGTGGGGAGAATTTGGAGAGGAGAGGATCAGGGGTGTCACGGGGAAACAGGGAGAGGTTCAGAAAGGAAGAGGAAAGAGAAAACTCAGAGTCTGGATCAGTCCTGACAGGCGAAATAAAAGCACCCAAAAGAACTGTGGAAAAAATAGCCAGAATTAATTTTAGATTTTAATGTTAACCATTGTAGTAATTCTACCACCATTACTCATAGAACCCCTAGAAAATATATTGAGTGCTGCTTATTCTAAGAGTTCATTTGCAGGCTTTTTTTTTTTTTTTTTTTTTTTTGAGACAGAGCTTTGCTCTTGTTGCCCAGGCTGGAGTGCAATGGCACAATCTCAGCTCACCGCAACCTCCACCTCCCAGATTCAAGCAATTCTTCTACCTCAGCCTCCCCAGTAGCTGAGATTACAGGCATGCACCACCACGCCCAGCTAATTTTTTGTATTTTTACTGGAGACCATGTTGGTCAGGCTGGTCTCGAACTCCCAGTCTCAGGTGATCCGCCTGCCTCGGCCTCCCAAGTGCTGGAATTACAGGCATGAGCCACCGCGCCCCGCCCATTTGCAGGCTTCTTATTGAGAGAATCAGAGATCACTGTCTCTTCTTGGACTGGGAGCTCTCCAAGGATCCTTCCAGATGTAGAATTTTATGAGTCTGAATTTACAATTTAAGAAGCTGTGAGCTCAACTGGCACCTAAAGGTCTGGGGAGGAGAATGTCTCACACTACAGTGATCAGCTTCACCTCCACAGCTAGACTCTTGACACAATAATCCCACTCCACTCCCACTGCCACTCCTGGCAGAAGCTCTAAGTACCAGTGATAGGACGGGGCTAGGGGAGGGTGAGCATCCTGCCCAAGGTGAAAGCTGAGAAGTGGCGGAGCCCAGGGTCACCCCAGACCTTGCATTACATCATCTGACACAGATCCCATCCAGAAGTGAAGCTCGGGCAGAATTCCTAATATTTTGCCTGTATTGATTTTCTGCAAAACTTCCTAGGTGCTGGGGAGTTGATGAAATGAGCCCTGAGCTTTATGAGGAGCTCCTTCAACAAGCACAGGATAAGGTTTGGAATTTTGGTTTGTTCCAGACACCAAACTTAACTCAAAGAGGTGACCTTGTGCTCAGAGAAGAGGGCATCCCAGGGGCTGGTGCTGGACTCATAACTGATGTACTCACCACGGTAGCAGCAAAGAGCCAGCGTGACCAGCAGGAGACACACCGACAGCCTCATGGTGGCTTATTCTGCTGTGAGCTCAGCTTTCACAAATGATGAGTGATTTAGACTCAACACCAGGAGCCTGTGGAGCCGTGGATCCTGGCACTATTTGTACCTAGGGAGCCTGGCTGGTCCTGCCCACATGGGCATCTGGCAGGTAATGAGGTCTGGCTCCCAGCCCTCCCTTCCTAGCCAGGGCCAGTGCCATCCATCAGTGTCACGCCCCATGCCTCCCTGCATCCTTAATGGGGCGGAGCACAGGAGGGCAGCCCTGTGGGAACTCTGCTCTGTGCTCCAGGTGAGTATCCAGGCACCTCTGGCAATGTTCCCTGAAACTTCAGTTTGCTTTAGGGCTTTTGATGATTATCTCTCTGTTCTTTATGTCAGCACAAGGGCACAGGTGAGTTCTCATTTCAGGAGGACAGACACTGGCGGTGCAGGAAGCTAGGGAATGTGGTTTGGTTATAGGAGAGCAGGCACAGAAGAGACCCCACTTTGAACTCCACTGCCTGTCTGACAATCAGCCACACGTGTTTCAGCTGTACATAGATCAAGTCTGAACCAGACCTATCCTCCCGCTCAGCCCCTTCCATCGCCACCATCTTCACCACATAGGTACCTAGAACGTAGCTGAATACACCCCACCTGTGGAGGATTTCCTTGGGGAAAACAACTGCTCTCCGCGTCCTCTACCCTGTCTCACTCCAAGATCTGTGCCTTTGTTTATGGATGGAGTTGTTGACATAGCCCAGGTTCAAATTTTGTGTCTACTAAAAGCAAGCCTCCTGTGACCTCTAGCTAGCCACATCTCCTCATAGGGTTGATGTGATGATTGAATTACCCAACTCTTTTTACCCAAGGAGCTTCTGGGGTGTCGGTAGGCAAACAGGCATCGGAGATACTGCTCTTGGCTTCTAGGCAGGGACGATAATGGAAAGGAAGAGAAAGATGAATGGGGTGCGTGCTTACTCCCCCCTAACTCCTGGGGTCAAGTTTCCCACTTCTAACCCAGCTCTGCTGCCTGGGTCATCTCAATGTTGATGGAAAGCAAAGGCCACCCCCAGCCAAAGCAATACATCCTCCTGCCCTTCCACTGCAGTGCCATCATTTGGTGAATAGGAAATCACCAGACATTTGTCTCTTAAGTGAATACACATTTGAGAAGAGTCACAGCCCAGCCCAGAGCTTTTCATTCTCAGCTGTGCAATCAATCACTTGGGGCCTTTAAAATATATACTGACCCCCCCCCAGGCTTCCCTGTCTAGGGACTTCAATTCAGTAGCTCTAGGGCAAAGCCGTAGTTCCTATACTGTTTAAACTGCTCTTGGGGGTCTGATGGGCAGCAGGGCTGAGAACCAGCCAGAAAGACCTTTATGAAGGAAGAGGGCATTATGATCTGTGTCATCAGAGACTCCTGGGCAGGTCTGGCTGAGTCCCAGCTGAGGGGAACGGTGGCTGTCACTTCCATCACCCCAAAGGGTGGGGAAGCCCCTGATGCCAGGTCTGCCTCTAACACCAAGGAGTGGAAGGTCCAGTGGTGAAGCCCATGACTAGGAGCGTTCAGGTCCATGTCTACAGGCTAGTGAACACTCTGAAAATTACTCAGTTTATATAAACTCAGTTTTCTCATTTGTAAAAGTAGGTTAAAAATGGTGCCTACATCATTGGGTTGATAGATGTTCAAATGAGTGTGTGTGTGTGCATGTGTGTGTGTGTGTGTGTGTGTGTGTGGTGTGTTTGTAAAATTTACAAGGTCTGACATGTAGTAAACTCTCAATAAGTGTTGACTACTATTATCTTGTCCCACCTGTCATACATTTCATGGATTGTCACCAGTTCCTAGTTTAAAGCACAGCCAACCTTCCCCCCAAAATCACTGATTTTCAGAACTACAAGTCATGGGCCACATAAGGTCATATTAGTTAACATCAGATCCCACATACAATGGGGGTCCCCTAAAATTATAACACTGTATTTTCACTGCACCTTTACTGTTTTGATATGTTTAAATACACAGATACTTGCTACTGTACTAAAACTGGCTGCAGTGTTCAGAACAGTAATAACATGCTGTACAGGTGTGTGGCCCAGGAGCAATAGGCTTTCCTCTTAATAGCCTAGGTGTGTAGTAGGTGATGCCGTCTAGGTTTGTGTAACGGCACTCTATGATGTTCACATAATGACAATTGCCTGTGCATTTCTCAGAATGTGTCCCAGTCACTAAGTGACACACAACTGTATAAGGAAACCTAGATACATCCCCGCCACCTGGAGGAAACCCAGCTCATGGTCTCTGAGACCACAGACCCAGGGACATGAATTTAAATTATTACAGATGACAGATGGGTGAGGAACTTCCCAGTATCTGTTGAACAGAGCTTGTCCTAATGTGGGCTTGGCCTTCATCTGTATATCCCTTTAGGGAGGATGCGAATATCTGAAAGAGGATTGTTTTCACATACTTTTATCATTCCCACAGATCTTAACACCTGCTCGGGGTTTTTTTAGTTTTTATAGGTGGTACTCTTTATGACTGCTCTACTCCTTCCCTGGTTGGCTTAAAATCTTCTCATCTCAGGGGATGCGTACCTGACCCCAATAACTCAGTGTGTTCCCATTTGTAGGCTTTGCTGGCTGGATGTTGTGGCTCACGCCTGTAATCCCAGCAGTTTGGGAGGCCAAGGTAGGAAGGCTGCTTGAGGCCAGGAGTTCAAAACCAGCCTGGGAAATACAGCAAGACCTCCTCTCTACAAAAAATAAAATATAAACACTGGCCAGGTATGGTGGTGCATACCTGTAGTCCCAAATACTCCAGAGGCTGAGGCAGGAAGATCACTTGAGGCCAGGAGTTTGAGGCTGCCATGAGGTATGATTACACCACTGCATTCCAGCATTCCAGCCTGGGCAACAGAGTGAGACCCTGTACCTAATAAATAAATGAATACACACACACACATACACATATACTGATTAAACTTTTGTAAAAAATAACAATTTTGGGAATTTCTACAAAGGTGAGATCTATGGTTCCAGTAAACACTATGGATAGATAGATAGATAGATA